TCTTGAGAAACCTGCTGTAGCTGAGCAGAGGTGTTGGGTTAGATGATCTCCAGACGTTCTTTCCAACCTCAACTATTTGTGATTCTCTACATGTTCCAGTCCAGCCCCCACATGAAAGAGATCTCTTCTCCGAAACAGACAGAAGAGAGGAGGGTTTGACTTCTGCCATTCACCCAGTAGTAGTATATACTTGATGTTCCACTGCTGTACAGCACTACCAAATATGTGTCAGGTGAAAAGCAAAGAACATTTAGACAAGCATCTTGCAAAGTGAAAATGTGCCATCCTCTGCCCTCTGTTCCTTCAGCTTAGGGCTGTCTATTTATCTAGCGAGAGACAGAGGACAGCTTTATGTTTGTTCATGCAAACTTAGAGATAGCTTATACAGCAGAGGTGTCCGCAAGCCACAAGAATTAGATGGAGACCAACAATCTCTCTTGTACAAGGCAGACACTAGAGGTGAACGGCTCGATTTCTCACAACCACGGATTCAGACTGTAGGTCTAGGGACTGAAGCAGACCCTACAGAATCATGAACTGCCTGTCTATTATTCGCTGCCTGCTATCAATAATAAAATGCCAGAGCCAATACAAAAACTTGCAGTGTTACAAACTGACCTGCATTTCAACTTCTCTTCCTCTCCACCCATTTCTATGATATAATGGAAGCCACTTACCACTCAGCAGCATTGTAATTAAATAATCAAAAAGCAAACAAATTTCACATCTGACAGTCCCCAGGAGAAAACTGATATACATGAAAAAAGCATTTTAGTTTACTTAGGGCCATTCTGGTAACAACAAGCTCAGAGGGATATAATTAGTACCCTGCAAGCCAGCATATGAAAAGGCTTAATTTAGCTGAGATCAGAACTAAAGAATAGCTATAGAAATTAAAAGTGAAGCCACAAATCCACACAGGACTGCCATAGCTAAGCGTTTTTACGATCAGGAATTCTAAAGTTGTAATTCACATGTAATGCATTCTGATTTCCGCTTATGCAGAAGGGTAGGCGTTATTTTGGACCACCCTGAAATAGCTGCGGTTAATCCGAGGAGGTCAGTCTGTGGGTCTTTAGCAGTTCTCAGTAGCATGCAATAAGAGGCACACAACACTGGGAAGGTTAATTCTTATTCTCCAAGTCTGCTGAATGCATGCATTCCTCTTCAATATAGCCTATATTCTTCTGCACATTAAATCCCTGCAGTTGTTCTGAAATGCTTATGGCCAGGAGAAGAAAGTCCTTATATCACAGACAGGTAACCTTCCCAGAGCACTGTGGCTGATGTGGAATCCAGCACTAAATGTTTCTGAAGTAAGGCTAGATTTTGATCATTTGCATTATGCTATAGGCATGCAAAAAAAAAAAAAAATTCCACACAGCAAGTTGTTCCAGCACACTTCGATCTTTGAAATACAAAGGAAAGGAAACATTTCAAACACACGACTCTTAAAACTTTTGCTGCTCGCTGTTAAGATTTGCTGTCATCAGGACAGCCTTTTTTGGTTGAAAAATGTTTATTGCTAAAGGTCACAGAATTGTCTCTCTCTAACAAATTAAGAAATAAATGGCCATTGACACTTCCAGATGATGATTCATTTGTCTGAGAGCTCCAGCAATGCAACGCAACACAGCTGCCTCCCAGGTATGCTGCAGACCACAGCAGCCAGCAACTAACCCCGCAAGCTGTCTTCACCCTCCTATGACTTTGTTAGCCAACTTCTCGACCCTCTTCGTAGTCACACCAAAAATTCCTTACTCTCAAGCTTAAACACAGACGAAAAACATACAGAAGTCACATTTGTCAGAAAAAACACTGATGTGTGCAGTAGCCAGGTTTCCACACTTACTATTTCTATTATTAGCAAAGCCCTCTTTACTTCACATGAAGCAGAGATTCTCCATGTATGAGACACATGGATGAAAGAGGCTGACAGATTGGCACTAACATCACCACCTACAGAAACCAGTGCAATAGCAGACAGAACCTCAAAGGCAGCTCGGCAAAGCCCATTACATTTAACCCTAACACAGGTCAGTATACAAGAAATGCTAGCAGGAGGGATATAGTCTCCTTGCCAGGGAAAGCCAGGTTCTTGAAGGTTAGTCTTTTTAAAGAGTTATTAAAGTGCTAGAGGTCTGTTTAGACAACCCTCTAGTGAAAGGCCATCACAAGGTACAGCAGAGTATATCTGATATTTTATCTTGTCAGGGTAACCTCTCGATAAAAAAAATTAATAATAGATTTTTATTGAGCGATTATCTTTTTCATCTTTTGCTTTTCACTGGAGTTTATGATGACTATTTACTGATCTCTTTGGGGAAGAAGCTGACATTTACTGTTCATGCTCTGCCTCTCTGATCTCAGATGTGGCCCCTACTATCACACTACATCCAACAGTGATTCTATAATTTTAGAAGAAAGATGCTGTTACAGATTTGTGGGACTAGCATTTGGAACAGAAGCACAGCATTCCACTTTGCAGACAACACAGAGGACTAATCATTTATGATTTTCAAAGAAAATCAAGACTTCCTTTTTTTTTTTTTTTACAGCTCACCGGTTCTGTGGCACAGAGGTGACTATCATCAGCTCGGACACAGGGTTTTTACAACCTGCCCAACTTAATAATGAGAAACAGATAACCAGAGCAGCAGCCTAATGGTCCAAATCCAAGAGTGTGCCCTTTTCAAACATACAACATGTGACAGAAGTTTTCCTGAAGCCTCTGCTCCTTCCTGCAGCTCAGTTTGATGCATTAAACTATCAATTCTCAGGTATTGGGGTTGAAGTGGGGTTTTGGGGTTTTTTTGTTTGTTTGGTTGTTTTTTGTTTTTTTTTAAAATACATAAAATGGATAAATTAAAACCAGAAATTTGTAACCAGCAGCCTTTCAAGACAAGATCACATGTTTAGGACTTAACAGCCTCCTGAAGACTAAGGAGCCTCCTTAAGCCCAGGGAGGGATGTGGAAGCCAGCCCCTGTGTGGTTAAGGAAGAACGCTGACTGCTGGAAAAGGAGCAGCAGCCAGCAGGAAATGCTACAGTGCAGATACTGAACTGACAGCAGTGAAGGAAAAATGTTTCATCCTAACCAGTTATCGTCCCAACCTGTATAGATCAACTGAGCTAGCAGGAAAACACTTTTTTTTTTTTTAAAAAAAAGTATTTTTACTAGCACTCTTTGCCTGTGTGTCATTCTCTTCCCTTGACAGTTCAGCTCACTGTCCAACACCAGCAGCCTTTTATATCCACCTATAAATAGATGCTGCACACAAATTAATCTCAGCTACTTCCTGCAACCTTTGTATGAAAGATGGATGACTGACGGAGAAGAGCTTGCATCTTATCAGAGGCAGGTGGAACAGCAAGAGTGAGCTGGACGAACAGCACATGTACGGACTGGCAAGGAGCAGGGGTGGGAGAGCCAGAAGCGCTCTCTTTCGCCTGGTCAGAAGGGCACATCTAGAGAACAAGAAAAATGGAACCACAGGAAACCAGATTTCATTACTTCCACTTCTCTCAAAAGAAACTTGTTTGTACAATTCAGCTGCGGTTACAGCATGAGCTTCACTAATTTGCTTCTAGACTGAGTAGCAATAGAGAGACCTTGTTGGGAGGGTGGTTGTTTTTTTTCCTCCCCAGCTTAGTCTGGAAATCCTCTAAAGAAATACTTATTTCATATAACATTGATTTGTTCAAACCAGCATGCCTTGCTTGCAAGCTAATTAGAGACGTTCTTTAGAGCAAACACTATAGCTGTTGGATAGCGCTTATTTGAAAGTCAGTATAGGTCAGAACACTAAATACTCACGAGCTTATTTTCAAGCTCATTTTAAGGAGCTTCCTACGTGTCAGATTTTTGGAGGCAAGTATCCTTTAGTATCCACGTAGAGAGCTCTTTTCCCCAGTTGAGTAATTTCAGTAGCAGGACTCTTGAACTCTGCAGCAGATAAAGCTAAATATTCTCAGTAATTTTAAAGGAGAAAATAGAGTTGCTAGATCCAATCATAATGCCTTAAAGTCACTGTACCCTCTTCAATGTAGGAGAACACCAGCTATTTCAGAGGACTTGCCATGTGATCCTTCTAGCTATGCACAGTCTACATGACAGAGGCATTCATCCCTCTGTCCCTTGATTGCCTTTTCCACCATAGCAAGGGTGCAAACTGCAAGACATAAAGTAAACTCTAGCTTAATTTATATCACATAGCATTTAAATGGTTCAGAGAAAAAGATCCCTTGCCTTTCTGCTACAGAACAAGTAAATTTAGCAACTACATCTACACATTGCTGCTGCAGTTACAAGTGGTTGTTCCATTTGTGGTGATGCGTTACACCAGCTACTACACGTCTTTGCACGTAGCACTTAAACCCAATCCCAAATGACTACTCCTGGCAATGCAGTATGAAATAAGGAGTGTAGTTGCAAGCAACTCAGCAAGTGAGAGCAGACAAAGTTTTGGATGTTGCAGACACACTTTTCAGGAGCACAAAATTCAGGACAAAAGTAAGCCAAACCATAGGCAGTGCGAAGTGGAAACCTTTTATCAAGGCTTCTTTTACCATTTTCTGTGTCTAGAAAAAAAAAAAAGCAGAACATGAGGAGTGAGCTATTCCCCTCTTTTTTTTTTTTTAATTTTTTTTTTATTTTTTATTCCAAGCCTCAAACATTTAACCCTGGAGTTAAATATTAAGGGCTACACAGGCCCTACGCAGAGCACTAAAGCCAGCTTCCATGTTTATTCACATTGTCCAAAACACAGGACAGCCCATGCCATCAGCAGCTAAACCAGCACAAACTGAATATGGAACATGATATTTTGCTGGGCATTGGCCTTTGAAACATACCAGCGCAAGGTTCACCTGAGCTCTACTGTTGGCAAGTAAAAAAACCTCAAGTCATTATAAACATATCTGCGAGTTCATTGATCCCTTAGGTAGGTAAGCATTGGTAGGTAAACATAGGTGGAGATGTTACATACAAATTATCGTACCTCTGTCGCTGAAGTCATCAACCAGCACTACCTCTGCTATCAGCTCAGGAGGGGAGCGGTTTAGGACACTGTGCACTGTCCGGAGGAGAGAGGACCATCCCTCGTTGTGGAACGGTATTATCACGCTAGTGTTCGGAAGCTTCTCCAGGTACAGCTTATTCTTGCAGCTGGACATAGATAGAGTAAGTCAAAAGTGCCAAAACCCACCAGCATTTCCATAGTAATTACCATGAAGTAACTTCGTTCATTCTTATCAAGCCAATGTTGACCTGGTCTAGCCTACCTGGCAAAAAAAAAATTCCATATGAAGTGGGGACTGTTAGTGGCCAGCGACACTTGGAAATACAGAAAGTCAGAGAGATCTATCAGGTGCTGAAGCTGCTTTTAAAGGAAACTCCAGTTATAGCTTAAGATGGAAAACTGTCTAAAATACTTGTTTCCCTGTCCTTATATCTCAAAGATCACTAGGAAAAGGAATTTTGACAACATTGTTTCAGAAGTTGAATGCATGTCTTCTATCTGTACGTTGGTTTAGCTCACTTATTCCCAGTTTTCAGAGAAGCTCTAATCACATATATAACTGTCATCCAAATTTTTTAAACAGAACATGCAGGAAATAAGAATTTTGTGTGACAGCACCTTCCCTAAACAGCCCCAGAAATTCAAGATACTGTGAACAATACACAGAAGAGACAGGATAATTGCACTGTAAGAACTGCTGAGTAGAGAAACCCACCTCTCAGTAACAGATCAAACTCCAACCTCTACCTAAGGCTTCCTTTGTCATGCTGGACAATTATTCAAATCATACTGTTCCTAAACAATCAATCCTGTCTTCCTCATTTTTCAGCAGGTCTAGTTCGACACCTGGGACCAGTTCTGCAAACATAAGTGAGGAAGGCTGGGCTTTGAACACAAAGCACTGCAGAACATGGATAAAGCTGGAGAGTCAGGTCTGCAGAGCCCCCATACAGACCCCTTGAATTAGAGGGTATTTCCCCACAGCATTAGTAGTCTTAATTTTGAAATGGGGGTATCACTCTCTTGCCTTGTGGGGGTGTTTTCAAGGTAGCTTAATGAAAAAAATTCAAACTGCAGCAGTAAGTGCAGTGTTTATATTCCAGCAGGTGTGGTCCTAAGCGGACTTTGAACCTGGTTAAACAGGTAACACCTAAGGCCATACAGTGAACAACTGTAGTTAGAAAATACCCAGTAGCTGTTCACTAGGGGACAAAAATCTATTACATTCTTAGAACCCCACGTGTCCAGTGCAAAACAGAGATGAATAGAGATTTTTAGAATATGTTAAAGACATTGCCCTCAGGGCAGGCTGCCCTCTGTCCCCTAGCAGGGTAGGGAGATCATACTCTGCTCCCTGCCCTGCCACAGCACTGGGCCTCTTGCATGGCCTGCACCAGAGCAGTTTGCAGACCCTCTCCTGCCAGGTGCTCAGCGAGGCTTTCATGACGCGCGCAAGGCAGCGCACGCACACAGTAATTCCCCCCCCGTTCCCTGGAAGGGCAGATGGGAACAAAAGTGGCTCTGGCAGTGGCAGCTTTTTCCTGGTACCTTTCCCAGGGAATGGAGAAGGATGCACCTATGTTATACAAGCTCAATAAATCTGTGGTTACAGGAAGTCACTCTGGTGCCTGCATGAAAGGACAGTAGTTTATTCTGGGTCTGTTGAATTGTCTTGGGGTGCTGCCAAGAGCTTGCAGGCTATGGCTGCAATGCACAGATGCAAGATGCAAAATAAAGCTGCATGGACTCCTTTTCATCCAGTCCTTGGCATTGCAATCTTAACCTTCTTCCAACATAGCTACTAGCTATAATTCTGTTCCAATATGAAACAAGAGCCCCCAAATCTCTTCTAACTCTTCTTAAACTGGAATTTTCATTTTCTGAGTAACTTGAACAAGTGGGAAACTTTAGCTATTAAGTTTAACCATTAAGCATGGAGAGACATTGTTTCCCTCCAGCTACCTCATCTACAATTGCTTTACAAGACCTGCAAATTTAGTATTTAATATTAAAAAACCCAGAAGCACTTCAAGGAAGTGTTAGCAGGGGAAGACACGACTGTTGAAACAAACAATTGTATGTGTGCACCAGGTAGATCCAGTACATGCCCTCCCCCAGCCCCCTCGATTCCCATGATTAACAGGAAGCAGAAGTGAGATGCTATCTGGTACATAAAGGTCCACATAACCTACCTCAGAAGTGAGCAAACACACTGGCTGTGTCTTTGCCCTTCCCCACCCAGGCCAGCTGCTGGGGAGAATCCCAACTGCAGCCCCAAAGCTTAGGACAGGACAGATGCCACGTTTTTCTCTAGTCCGTCTTCTCCCTACACTCCCTGCTGTCTGCAGGTACATCTCCAAACAAAAGAGTCTCTATTATCCCTTACCGTATGTAAAAGGCTAGGTAAAGTAAGTGCTCTAACAGACAGCTCCCTTCTCTCTGGAATGCTCTTTATGGACTTTGCCTTAGCCTAACTTTGTTATAAATTGCCCTCATCAACCTCCCAAATAACACAAACCATACCATTTCAAGTATATCTTTTTTAATGGGCACAGGGAATACACAACAGACCTTTTCAGTCGTGAATTCCTTTACTGCAAATCTCCATTATATGTAACCCCACTCCCTGCCCAGCTAATCCTAGCATCCATTACACACAGGCTGTTTATCCTCTCCTTGAGACCTCCACAGTTATAACTCGCTGTGTTAGGGGAAAGGATGTGTCAAGCAACAACCAAACCAGCTGCAGCAGCATCATTAATCACAGCTTAAGTTGTTGGTGACCCAGACACTTCACTTATTAATTTTAACTGGGGACTGGAGTTAGAAGTTTCACATTTTTAAAAAGTTTAAATAGCAGAATTAGCAACGAGGAGTCAGCAACTTTGGGAAACAATAGGGAATGTGAGTTAATATATTAAACTCTCAGATGAGGAAATACTGGCATTATGTGACGTTTAAATTCTCAGAGCCCATGGCAGCCCCTGCAAATGGAGGCCAGATATAATTTAGGTTACCAAACTCAAACTGTATTTCCTAGAACTTGAGCATGGGCTGATCAACAAGCATCTTCAGTTACCTGATTTATCTCTACGTTTAAACATTTCAGCTGCATGCCTAAAATATTTATGGAGCTACATTCACTACTCTGGTTTATGAGTATATATTGAGAAAGGGTGTCAAGCCAGTGCATTTGATTAGTTTGCTGTGACAGCTGAAGAGGTAATCTCTCAAATGTGCAGCTAACAAATTATAAAACCTGACTTCTGGAAATTCTCTCTCATGAATAAAGTAGGTGTTGAATTCAGATTCACTAAAACATGATAAAAACAGCTTTACACAAAACAAGATTCCATTCAAATGTCTAACAATGCTTTCAGATTAAGAACCACACCAACAGTATTTAAAAACCTCTCAGCTTTGTATAAGCAAGGGTTAAGTCCCAACTGAAGCACTTTTGCTAATGAAAAACTCCTTCTTGCTTGCACAAAATCCAGTTTGACACCATCTTAAGGGATAATGTCTAAAACCAGATGAACTCAAAAGCCAGCATTCAATTTGAACTAGTTTCTACTTGTAAACCCCGATGAGGTTTTTATGAGGAAGATGTCTAAGAAACTAATCTATAAATCAGAAGGGTTTCTGATAAACTCTTCACACACAGCTGAGTGGAGCTACTCAAACCTTGTTCTGCTCTTTAGCATTTCATGGTCATTTCCAGCTAGTGGCCAACGTAAGAACTGGTCACAGTGTTTAGAGACAAAGTCATCACCTTAGTCAGACATTCACAGCAGTTTCCACTACAGAAAGAAATGGCTCCACCTTATCAGTTGCTAAAAGTTGTTGGCTATGTCAGTGGGCTTGGGTACTGAACTGTCAGGTTGCAAGAGGTGAAGGAAGTAGCCACCTCTGGGTTAAGTTCCAGATCTCTTCTGCACAGGGCTGTAAGTTTTTGGTAATTTTAAGTCTTTTGGAATCAAAAGGGGATTTTTTCCTCCAGATTTGGTCTCCTCTCTTTCCTGTTGCAATTACTATACACTGTACTTTATTAAGGAGACAGCAGGACCCAGCTGTGAAAGGACTGTATTTGATGAACAAAGATACAAGAGTCCATAATAAAAAAACAGCACACTCCTGCAGATGCAGTGATTTAGGGCTTGTAAACTTTCACTCGTAGAAATGCAAACTATATACTCACTTTGGATGTCTGATGTCTGGAAGGGAACGATTCAGAGAAATTTTATCACTCACAAAGATATTAAAACCATTTTCCCTGTATGCCTGGTCCACTCGTTCTGCATCAGTCATAGGGTAAGGTTTTCCCTGTTCTCCATTTCCTATAGATGGATAGAAAGTAAATATGCATCATTACTACTAATTGGTACATAACTGGCCAGAAACTAATCCATATATCAAAAGAGCCGTCATCTTATAGCCCTTTGAAAATTCCTTCATTAGTTTTGTGCTCTATGTCATATTTAGCACTAGGTCAACCATGTCAACCTAGCAATTTTATTTGACAAGCAGTTGTCCTGCAAACCACTCAGCTGTGCAAATCATAGAAGTTAAAAGTCTTCCTTCCAACACCCAAAACAGATGAAGGGGCTATGGCAACGCTGTGGAGGATCTATAGAATGTTTTTTGTTTCATTGCAGGAAGAGTACATATGGTCTGAATACCTCATCACCGCCGCTTTTTCAGCACAGATGGATATGTATATTTAACAACCTGAGCTCTTGCACAGAGAAGGCAGAGCCCTTGCAGACACACCAGAGTAAAGCTGTGATGTTCAAAATGGGCCCTTTGATGCGATGCAAGACAAAACCCAGAACTATGGAATAAAACTTGCATGAATATTATAATATAGAACGTTTTTCTTATCCTCCTCCTTCCTTTCTGGATCTCCCATTTTTGGGAGAGGTACCGGCATATATTTTTTGGTAAGTTTTTTAAAAAATCAATACTGCACCTCTCCTAAAAATACCAAGATGCTACCAACATATTTTCACCTCAAAGTGGTTATTGTGGAGCTAGGGGAAAAGGTTTTAACTGGGATTAACACACACTAACTGTTGCATTATGTCAAGAACATCATATTGACCCTGAAGTTGAACACGTTGTTCTGCACTCAGCTGACCAAATAAAGTCAAACTAAATTACAATCTGTATTAAAACATTTTTATAGTATTCTTACATACCTACACGCTCAGAGTCCCTCCTTATAGCTTCTTTGTTATGCCAGTCCTTTTTCCTTTGTCCATCACCAAAGTAAGGGTCTTTCTTTTGCCTCACGTAAGATGCCTTTTAAAATAAAAAATTGCATATATTAAATACACAACATGTGAAGCCTTTCCTTGACAGCCTCCCCTTCCTGTAAGAGGAGATTAAACACCTCCCTTGAGGTAAGACCATCACAAGCAAGTAGTTTTTACCCCAAAAGGGGTGAGGGAGGAAGCAAGTTTTCCTTGCCTCAGAACAGGACTTTGTCTATAGCGGTTACATGATTTTTTTTTTTTTTTTCAGGGCACCATCATGTATGCAGACCAGTATTCTTAATCAGGGAATGTATTAAAAACTCCCATTTTCATTTTGAAAACTTCCAATACATCTTACATCGTATTTAATTAACAATAAAGCTGTAATGGGAGACCTATTGCAGGATCATTATTAATAAGAACACTACTATACCTGAATAAAATCAAAATAAGATTTAAAAGGTCATTTATTAAGACTCTTGCTGCTCAACTTAAAAGCGAATTTTACACAAGGCATGAGTCTGCACTAAACCTAATTAGAGCTCCTCTTTTCATGATGTTGTTCCTGAAATTCAAAAGCAATGGGTGCTTTGGGAACAAGTCAGCAAATGAAAGATGGGGTGAATTCAGGATCAAAGAGACTATGGTGTGTGGAAAGAAAACCATGATACATCTCAAACGCTGACATCCCCAAAATCCAAGGGAAATATATACATAAAATATATTTAAGTAGGTTTTAGGGTCAAGAAGAGAACATCCTCTATGAGAATGAGTTTTCAATTATGTTGTAATACGCTGGTAGAGTATAGATGCAAGTCATTTGTAGCACCATTACTGCAGAAGTAGTTACAAAAAGAACTTAGAGGTTTTCCCCTTTTAATTCCTCATGACCTGCAGAGAGAACTCCACAGGCTAGAACTTCCTAGAAAGAAAAAAAATGCTTCCCTCCTTGGAGGGCAAGAGGTTTAAAGTCTCACTAATGGGTCAATCAAACCAAACGACCACCAAAAGGCAACGGTTGGCATAGTAACCTTGCAGGGTTATCAGGCATCTTTGGCATCTGGGACACAGACATTATTTGCCTGACTAGCTAAATTACAAACTCTTCATTTTCATGCCTACATTTGTCTTGGGAAAATAGGAGATTTGGACATGTTACTTGTTATTCCAAGGCACTAGACTTCAGCCTGATGCAGTTCACCCCACTGCAGTCTGGCAGATGAGCTCTGGTGAACCTTGCTGTGAAGGTTTTGCAGATTATCCCCATCACCCCTTTTCTGCAACAGTCAGCAGGTAGGGAGCCCTGTGTATTAGCTTACACAACCATCAGTGAAGACAGGTTTCAGCTAAGATGTCAAAGTGAACTAGTGGCTGAATGTACGTGTTCTGCTCCGCCTGCTCAGTTATGGGTGGTAACCCATAGAAAAGGAACTGTATGAAAACCTTGAGTTGTGCTGGTTGTACTACCATGCAAAGGGTAATAAAACAGTGGTCTAAAAGTAACAGAGCTCAATCTGAGTAAAAGCTGGCCTGTGAACTATTAGAATCTCGCCCC